CCGCATGGTCCCTCTTGTTAATTACGTCCATCGTTAAGAACTGCCTGGAGAGAAGATTTCCCATTGGCTCTGTTCCAATGGTCTTGAGTATGACTAGATTGCGAGGAAAGTTTTAGAAAGCAACACTCTATCTTTTTTTAAAATCTTGTCCAACAAAAATGAATGTAATTTTTATTAGAATCTAGAAGATCAGAAGATGTTTTGACTAGGTAAGTTGAGCGCAGATTACACTCAGCAGACACCTCTTTGTAACTTTCGAATTACAGATTTTTCTTCTATATTTCGTATCCAACTTCAAATTCAAAGTAGTATGGTGCACTTGAGTTGTTGAGTAGTGTCGACTAAAGACTGAACGGCCAACTCTGGTCATCTTTCGTTGGCAAATAAGCTTCACACTAAGACACATGTACGTTGTGTTTGTCGCCAGTATCCAAGTATTTGGAGTGTTGGCAGCAATTGACCGATAAGAATTATCAATAGTTAAACATGCTTTGGGTCTCGTGCACTTGTTCAGCTCAATTTGATTAAGCAAATTAAAGGTGAAATAACTAAACTTCAATTTTGCCTTAAAACTAATGTAACAGCTACTTCCAGTCCCTATAATCTTGCTATAAGTTCACTTTACGATTTCGAATCACCATTTTTCCGAGTCTCTTCCCGTTACGATGTTGTTTCGACATTTTCTACTACGTTCACATTCTTCCGTAAATGACGCATTGCTAAAAACACGTTTACTACATCCTATGTTTTCTAGTTTTATTCACACCTACGTGTTTCTTTTGTGATGACGGAACGTCGCTCGTCTGAAATTCTGATTAGCTCAAATAAAAAAAAGTTACGCGTGATTTCTCTCACTACAAGAATTTTTGAATACGTAAAAATGATTTTTCTATATGACAAAACGCTTGTTCATATAGTTCTCCATCTTGCTAGTTTTCGCTTTCCTTAAATGTCATTTTTTTCTCTACAAAAAAGTTATTATAATTCTAATATATTCATTAGGAAAAATTGCCATTTTACCCAGTTCTTCGCTTTATCACGTTTTCTCAGCAGAAGTTTTTCAATCTTTATTGCAAAATAAATGCTTTCGAGCTTTGTTCGCACTTGTTTACATACCTGTACTCCATCTCTCCTTTGAACAACGTTGTATTCACGGAATAAATACCCTATAATCATTTTATAGTAATAAATGCATAAGTATGCGCTAATTCTTGAAATATAGTGATAATACTGACAGGTGCCTTTCGCCCTCAATGTATGAACTATTATCGCTAAAGACAAACGGACACTTGGAAAATGAAAACATCATTGTTAACGAAATTTATTGAAATCAACAGTTTATTAGTGTGTGATTTTCACCGCTGAATTGCACTGCTGTCCTTGAGGTATAAAAAAGTTGCTGAATCAACATTCTTAGTGTATGAACAGCTTTTGAGGTCATCTTCATAGTTTGACTCAAACATTTGTTAGCCTTCGTGTTTTTCTTCCGTAATAGTATAAGCCAAGATATGACATAACAATAATTGCTCCAATCAATTAATCCAAATAGAATTTTTAGAAAAACTGCTGGAAGTATTAAACAGCTACTATTTTAAAGGAGAGGGTATATGCGAAATACTTCCTTCGTGAAAAAATAGCTTCAGTTTTTAATTGTAGTTGATTGACTGCTATCTTTTTATGTAAATTTAGTAACGGCAATGTGTAAGCTTACTCTAGGGAACTATTGAGTTTAGTAATAACAGTGGCTTGTTGAAGATGAGAGATCTTTGAGTAATCTGAAAGTTATTATCCTCAAATAAAAGGGTTTGTGATGGGTAAACTTGCTCCAGTTCTCGCAGCGTGTAACATGAGTAATCGAGGAATCAGTAAGTGCGCACCCACCAATAATTTACCGCCATTATATCGATGAGTTGATAACTTTAAGGCAGTCCGAGATAGATGAGCGTTTTAGGATTCTGAATCAAAAGCTGCAAGTACATCAAACTACGCCAAATCCCTGTCGTTAGGTGGTATCCCCATCTGAACACCCAGATACACTCATCTGATTCTGCCACGTGTCAAATGATATCGCAAGAAAGACTCTAAAATCATTTTGAAGCTCCCCAAAACAGTGCACCTAATAGGCGTAAAGCGTACTATCATTCGCAATTTCGAAAGTGCTGTAGAAGTTGAACGCACGAGGAGGAGCGGCTCGAGTCATTAAAATTCGCCTAGTACTACCAATGCTCACATGCGCGCAGTGACGTGAAAAACATCTAATTGATGTCTAAACAGCAGACAACAAAAGGCTTCCTCCTAGCATACCCCTTAAGGTAGGATCAGTACGGCGCGATAAGACTGCATAAAGGCTAACTGCAGAATGATGTTATGCTATCATTATCCCCGTTTGAGAACTAAGAATCAGTTCATTAGGAACAGCTTTAAGATTTAGGATACGTTACGGAAGAATACATTGCTTCTCCCGTTGAGAAGGTGCTTGTA